GAGTGGGAGGCGGATAGAAGAGGGATAGAGGAGAGGATAGGTGGAGAGGAAACAAACAGGTCGAAGAGGCGGGGATGGGGCCAGGAAAGGTGAGTGTAGGTAGGGAGTTAGGAAGGGGATAGGTCAGTCCAGGGAGGACGGACAGGTCAAGGGGGCGGGATGAGGTTGGTCGGTAGGAGATGGAGGTGCGGCTTGAGGTGGGAGGAGGAGATAGGTGGGAGGAAGAACAGGTTAGGGAGGCAGGGACGAGCAGGGATGCGGTGGGGGGAGGGGAGATTTTGAAACTTGTGAAATCCACATTGATACCATTGGGCTGCAGGGTTCCCAAGCGGAATATGAGTTGCTGTTCCTGCAACCTTCGGGTGGCATCGTTGTGGCACTGCAGGAGGCCCAGGATGGACATGTCGTCTGAGGAATGGGAGGGGGAGTTGAAATGGTTCGCGACTGGGAGGTGCAGTTGTTTGTTGCGAACCGAGCGTAGGTGTTCTGCAAAGCCCACAGCCGACGCCGACGACGCTCCGCCCACAGCCGACGCCGACACAGCTCCGCCCAGCACCTCCAGAGGAGACAGCAGCACCCAGCCCTGCCGAGTCTTCACCATCCCCCCAGACCTACCCCTTACTGAGGACGAACGGTCAGTCCTCAGTAAAGGGCTCACCTTTGTCCCCCTCCACCCACAGATCAACGAATATCGCTCACGCTTGGACATAGAGCAGTTTTTCCGCCGCCTCCGCCTCCACGCTTACTTCTCTGACCATGAACCTAACCCTCCCTCTACTGACCCCTTCTCCCGCTTCCAACACACCCCCTCCTCCTGGACACCACCTCAAGGCCTCCTACCCTCCCTCGACCTCTTCATCTCCAACTGCCGTCGAGACATCAATCGCCTCAACCTCTCCACCCCTCTCACCCACTCCAACCTCTCCCCCGCAGAACGTGCAGCCCTCCGCTCCCTCCGCTCCAATCCCAACTTCACCATAAAACCCGCGGACAAGGGAGGTGCAGTTGTAGTATGGCGCACTGACCTCTACATCGCCGAGGCCGGACGCCAACTCTCCGACACCTCCTCCTACCGCCCCCTTGATCAAGACCCCACCCCTGAGCACCAAACCATCATCTCGCAAACCATCCACAACCTCATCACCTCAGGTGACCTCCCACCCACGGCCTCCAACCTCATCGTTCCCCAACCTCGCACTGCCCGCTTCTATCTCCTTCCCAAAATCCACAAACCTGAATGCCCTGGTCGACCCATTGTCTCCGCCTGCTCCTGCCCCACCGAACTGATCTCCAACTATCTCGACTCCATTTTCTCCCCCTTGGTCCAGGAACTCCCTACCTATGTCCGTGACACCACCCACGCCCTCCACCTCCTCCAGAACTTCCAATTCCCCGGTCCCCAACACCTCATCTTTACCATGGACGTCCAGTCCCTCTACACCTGCATTCCCCATGCAGATGGCCTTAAGGCCCTCCGCTTCTTCCTGTCCCGCAGGCCCGACCAGTCCCCCTCCACTGATACCCTCATCCGCTTAGCCGAACTCGTCCTCACACTCAACAACTTCTCTTTCAATTCCTCCCACTTCCTACAGACAAAGGGGGTAGCCATGGGTACCCGCATGGGCCCAAGCTACGCCTGCCTCTTTGTAGGTTACGTG